GGTCCCGGTTGCAAAGCAATTCTCCTGCCTCAGCCCTCCCGAATAACTGAGAACTTTACAAGCATGCACCACCCATCGCCCAGCTACTATGTTCATTTTTTTTTTTGTTCTTGAGATCGAGAATCTTGCTCTGTCATGCCATAGCCTGGAGTGCAGTAGGCATGCTCTTGCACTCACCTGCATTCCAACTCTGGGGCTTCATGCTATTCTCCTGCTCAGCCTTCCCGAGTACTGGGACTACAGAGCACCTGCCACCACGCCCGGACTAACTTTTTTATATTTTAATTAATAGAGACGGGGTTCAAACCGTGTAGCCAGCGTGTCTCGATCTCCTGACCCGTGCGACAGAGGCGAGGTCACCTGGGCAAAAGGCGACGACTAAGTCTCAGAAAAAAAAAAAAGAAAAGAAAAGAAAAAGAACAATATAAGCCAAATTCACTCAAAAGAAATAAAAACAAGATGACAAGTCAATGGCACTGAAAACAGAAAATCAACAGAAGAACTCAATAGAACAACAGCTGTTTCTTCATAAAGATCAACAAAATTGGTCACTATCAAGCCAGGCTAACAAAGAAAAAAAGAAATCACACAAATTACTATAAGGTGAGTACAAAAGTAATGGCAGTTTTTGCATTCTTGGAATTTGCTGTTTGATACTGGAATACCTTCTTAAATAAATGTGGTTATGTTATTCATCATTTTAATGGGCATTTCTTGCTTTTTTTTTTGCTAATGACTTATTACTTATTTATTTTAGACTGTGGAAATGATGTCAGACAAAAAGCAAATTCAAGCGACTTTCTTATTCGAGTTCAAAATGGGTCCTAAAGCAGGGGAGACAACTCACAACATCAACACATTTGGCCTAGGAACTGCTAATTAATGTACAGCGCAGTGGTTCAAGAAGTTTTGCAAAGGAGGCGAGAGCCTTGAAGATGAGGAGGGTAGTGGGCAGCCACCGGAAATTGATAACGACCAATTGAGAGCAACCACTGAATTCGATCCTCTTACAGCCACACGAGAAGTTGGCGAAGAACTGAATGTCGACCATTCTATGGTCATCCGGCATTCAAAGCCAATTAGAAAGTTGAAAAAGCTTGATAAGTGGGTGCCTCATGAGCTGACCAAATATTTTAAAAAGCATCCTTTTGAAGTGTCAACTTCTCTTATTCTATGAAACAACAATGAACCATTTCTTGATCAGATTGTGACATGCCACGAAAAGTGGATTTCATACAACAGCCAGCTCACTGGTTGGACCGAGAAGAAGCTCCAAACCACTTCCCAAAGTCAAACTTGCACCAAAAAAAGGTCATGATCACTGTTTGGTGGTCAGCTGCCGGTCTTCTGATCCACTACACTTTTTGAATCCTGGTGAAATCATTACATCTGAGAAGTATGCCACGCCATTCGACGAGATGCACGGAACACTGCAGCACCTGGAGCCGGCACTGATCAACAGAAAGTGCCCAGTTATCCACAATGCGTGACCACATGTCATACAACCAGGGTTTCAAAAGTTGAATAAATTGGGCTATGAAGTTTTGCCTCATCTACCATATTCACCTGACCTCTCGTCAACAAACTACCACTTCTTTAAGCATCTTGACAACATTTTGCAGAGAAAACACTTCCACAACCAGCAGGATGCAGAAAACGCTTTCCAAGAGTTCATTGAACCCTGAAAGCATGGAATAAACAAGTTTATTTCTCATTGACAAAAATGTGTTCATTGTAATGGCTTCTATTTTTTCTTTTTTTTTTAGACAGAGTCTCACTCTGTCGCCCAGGCCAGAGTGCAAAGGTGCAATCTCAGCTCACTGCAACCTCTGCCTCCTGGGTTCAAGAGATTCTCCTGCCTCAGCCTCCCTAGCAGCTGGAACTACAGGCGCCCGCCGCCACACCCGGCTAATTTGTTTGTATTTTTAGTAAAGACGGGGTTTCACCATGTTCACCAGGATGGTCTTGATCTCCTGACCTCGTGATTCGCCCGCCTTGGCCTCCCAAAGTGCTGGGATTACAGGTGTGAGCCACTGCGCCGGGCCAGGTGACTTCATTTTATTAGTTTTATTAGAAATTTAGGTAGAATCAACTTCTGATTAAAGGCTGAATTTCTGTCATTTTGTAGAGAAATGAATAGACTGGACACTGTGTGGTCAGTGTTTAGATTTGCCCATGGGTTTGTTTAAATCTATGTCATGGATCCTGAGACACAAATATAATTAAGACAGGTCTAGAGACAGGAGAAGCAGAAATAAGGTGACCCAGGAGTACAGTCTCAAGTAGTTCATTAATGAGAAAATGGACATCTGGCAAGAGTCTTTTTACTTTATCCTGGCTGAAAATCCAAATCTTGTTTTATTTTTCCCACTAAAAGTAACTAAAATAATAACGAATTTTATTTGTTCTTGGGTTCTTTTTTCCTTTAATGATTGTGCTGTAACTTAAAATAAGTGCAAATTTAAAATGAATATCGAAAAAGAAATTACTAGAAACATTTAACACAAAATGTTACTTTAAGAATATACTGTAATCCCATAACTAGGTATATATCCAAAGGAAAATAAATTGCTCTAACAAAAAGACACATGCAATTGTGTGTTCATCACAGCACTATTCATGATAGCAAAGACATGGAATTCATTTAATTTAATGCCTATCAGTGATGGACTGGATAAAGAAAATGTGGTACATATACACCGTGGAATACTATGAAGTCATCCAAAAGAATGAAATCATGTCCTTGCAGCAATATAGATGCACCTGGGGGCCATTATCCTAAGCAAATTAATCCAGGAACAGGAAACCAAATACTGCATGTTCTCACTTGTAAGTGGGAGCTAAACACTGTGTACACATGGACATAAAGATGGTAACAGTAGACAATGGAGACTACTAGAGGAGGGGTGATGGAGGATGGGGTTAAAAAACTGTGGGGCACTATGCTCACTGCTGGGTGGTAGGATCAACTGTACCCCAAACTTCAGCATTGTAGAATATACCCATGTAACAAACTTATACACATACCTCCTGAATCTAAAATAAAAGCTGAAATTAAAAAAAGGGGGAAAAAAAGAATATACTTTTAAGTTGTGGTGATCTATTGCAAAGCAAGGTGACTATAATTAGTGATAATATATATTTCAAAATTTCCAAAAGATTGGATTTTATAACTAGGTGAAGTGATGGATATGTTCATTAGCCTGATTTGTTCATTCTACAATGTGTACATGTATCCAAACATCACTTTTTACTCCATAAATATACAATTATTTGTCAATAAAAATTAAATTTCTTAAAAATTATAAATAAGAATATACTTTCAAAAATAAAAATTGGTTTCTTTACAAATTTAGTTCTAAAAACATTTTAAACATGCATAAGTAATATTCTGTCTTGACAGTTAAGAAAATAATGTTGAGATAACTGAGATCTACTTTTGGTGATCTAGTAGCGAAAACAATGAAAAAAATCACTTCTTTAAATGAGCAAAGACCCTTAATGAAATGCCTTCAAACTCTGAAGAAACACTTTATCAAAGCCAATAAGTAAAAACAACAATAAAAATACCAAATTTTTCATTTCATCTCACCTTCTTTTATCCACCTACCTTGAGTTACACGGGTAGGCAAATGCCCAAAGCATTCTGGCATCATGAGGGAAAAACCCAAGATAGCACTTCAGTTTATTCACAAATTGAATGATCAATTCCTCCAGTGACTTTCAAGAAGCAACATATTAAGTAATAGAACACACTAACACTAATATTTATAGAAATAGTGAAAGTTCTAAAAATGGGCAGCCAACAGGTTATTTTTGGCTACACTACACTGTGTGAGCTTTATTCCATACAGGCTTAACATATGTTAGATATGCTTTAAAAAACAAATCAGTCCAACATGAACTAATATTCAGGCAGTAACCTCAAATCAATTAGTGCCAACCTTTGACTTCCTTTACAAGAACTCCCTAGGTTAATAAATGAGTTTGGATTATGAGAGGAACAGTCACTATGGTAACCCCAGTCACTGTTTTAAAAGCTAATTTCAGATGTCATCAGACTATAGATGGCAGTTTAACAAAGTTGCACCTTCTAAGAGAACCAAACAATTTTATCTTTGGGTGGGAGACCTGTTTGAAATACTTGTTTGAATAAATATTGTTTTCACATTAAAGAGGAGCATATTAAGCCAAATTTTAAAAAAGGTGGGGGAGTAGTAAGAATATTTAACCAAGTATGGAAGTTAGGCAGTAGCTTAGACTAAAAAAGCTGTTCTAATATAAGGCAGTTAAATACCCAATGGTCGAAAAAATATTTTTAAAACCAAGATTTACTATCCAAAGAAAAAAAATCATAAAATGATGTCATATTTAGTGTATGGAAACATTTAAAATTCTAGCATTGAAAGGGTAAGTTGGAAAAACACGTTTAGTATTCTAATTTGTAACCTACACAATTATACAAATTATTTTCAGTAACTTAAAAGCCCTATTTAATAAACATTTCTAACAGAGTAATGGGATTATCTTTAATTTTTGAAAACAAAGATATAACAACAACAAAAAAGTAAAACAAGCACAGAACTAAAACAGGTAAATTCATTAATTGAAGTCAATGAAGTAGACGACCAAAGATCTGAAACAAGTTACATATTCTCTAAATCAAGGAACCTAAATAGACAATATCTCAAAAAAGGCAAGCCATTAAGATGCCTTCTTGATTACTGCCCTACGAAGCAGGTCTAACAGGAAAACAGGATCTCAAAAAGACCATACTGGCTGTGACAGTTATCAAGCTATTGTCTCTTAGCTCTACACCAGACTTCTACACTCTAGCCTCTGATGCTAGGACTGAGACCTCGTAAATTCCATTTTGGCTTTGCCAGCTGGCTCCATGTTCCACTCTGCCAAAAAGGGATCCTAGAAGTGGGAAGAGTCAACTTGCTTCCTCTGTCTTCTTCCTGTTTGCTTTCTACAAGCTTCCTGTGTGTGTGCCATTTTTGTTATCATCACTCTGACAACACTTATTTACCCCAGCAACAGCAGGGAGCTTCCATAGCATCAGCTGAATTTAGTTGCAATTTTTCCAACACTTGGCAAACAAGTTTTATCATGTCCTCCCAGCCCAGAAATATTAGCACCAACATGGCAGTGCCCCCTACTCAGATGTCAGGTTGTCAGGTCTGTGGGTCCTCTCTTCTAAGCATCTAAGCCTTAGTAATTTCAATCTCTTCTTTTTGTTCCTCCAACCCTAGTGGTAATAGCTGTGGTGCCTTAATATTCTCACATCCCCTTTTTAGTTATCTAGTAAACTTTATGCCTAATTTAACATTCTTAATATTAAAGGCTCTGTTTAAATAACTAAGACGGCTTCTGTCCACTGACTAGTTCCTGACTAATCACCTATCCAGTAATTCTCAAGGTGAGTGGAACTATCAAAATCACTAAGAGACTGGGAGGTACAGTTTGCAAATGAATATCTACTAGTGTGATATAATTTTCTATTTGCAAAATGCAAATATATTATTTTCATAAAACAAATCTTAACCAAATATTTTATTAATATTATTTTTGATTGACAAATCATAATTATATACATTCATGAGGAAAAATGTGATGTTTTGATACATGTATACAATGTAAAATGATCAAAACAGATCTATTGGGAAAAATGGCAGATAGGAGGCAGAAGTAACTTGCAGCTCCCACTCAGATGGACAGAGCAGCATGTTGAGACTCACATTATGAACTCTGCTCCAAGAACTACAACAGGAACATACCAGGAAAACCAAGAGAATCCATAGACACTTTGAATGAAGCAGCTTGCCGCTGAAGGCTCCGTGAGGCAGCCAGAACACTGAGAGTGCCCAAAGCGTGAGAGGGAGAATGTCCACCCCTGAACACACAACCTCACTGGGGAACTTGAAGATTTAGATCATGGGAGAAGAATATGACCTTACCTGAAGTTGAGACAAATTTAGAGCCAAGCAAAATACAGAAGTAGAGGAAGCAGCAGAAAGAGCCCTGTGGGCACTCTTGGTCCCCAGGGAAGTAATTCCTGACTTGCTCTCGCAGGGGTCCTTGAGGAGGGCTGACAGTGGAATTACAGAAAGACCAAAGGGAGAAGGAAATTTCCAGATGAACTTTGTAACACATTTGACTGTATGCGAAGTTTCCTGGACAGAATCCAGGGGAGGGGACAACCTGGGAGTACAAATGCAAGCACAGAAACTGTAGCATGTGGGGAGGCAGGAAATCTGAAAGCCCTGCTTGCTTTCTCAGCAGGGAGGCTTGTAGCCTGGGGCAAGTTCTCAGCCCTGCTCACCAGCTGCCTGGAAATAAACTCAGTGCTGTTGGTGGGGCACAGTGGGAGTGAGACTGGCCCTTCAGGCTGTGTGGTGAAGCCTGTCACTGCTGGCTTTCCCCCACTTCTGTGGGAACCTGTATGATGCAGCAGAGGCAGCCATAATCCCCCTGGGAACATAACTCCATTAGCAAGCCTAAGAACCATACCCCGCCCCCCACGGCAGCTGTAGCAAGCCACACATAAAGAAAATCTGAGCTCAGACACATATAACCCTGCCCTAACCTGATGGTCTTTCTTTACCCACCCTGATAGCCAAAGACGAAGAACATAATCTCTTGGGAGCTCTATGGGCCCAACTACCACCTGAAAAACCTGAATATTTATCCAGGCAACCCTAAGGCTTTAATGCGTGTCCTTGTGAAAAGACCAGCAAACAGGCTCTGTGTGAACAATAAGGCTGTTTATTTCACCTGGGTGCAGGAGGGCTGAGTCTGAAAAGACAGTCAGCGAAGGGAGATGGGGTGGGGCTATTTTATCGGATTTGGGTAGATAAAGGGAAATTACAGTCAAAGGGGATTGTTCTCTGGTGGGCAGGGGTGGGGGTCACAAGGTGCTCAGTGGGGGAACTTTTGAGCCAGGATGAGCCAAGATGAGCCAGGAAAAGGAATTTCACAAGGTAATGTCATCAATTAAGGCAGGAACAGGCCATTTTCACTTCTTTTGTGGTGGAATGTCATCACTTAAGGCAGGAACCCTCCATCGGGATGTGTACGTGCAGGCCACAGGGGATATGATGGCTTAACTTTGGCTCAGCGGCCTGACATTTCTGTCTTCTTATATTAATAAGAAAAATAAAACAAAATAGTGGTAAAGTGTTGGGGCGGTGAAAATTTTGGGGGATGGTATGGAGAGAGAATGGGCAATGTTTCTCAGAGCTGCTTCGAGCGGGATTGGGGTGGCATGGGAACCTACAGTGGGAGAGATTAAACTTAAGAAAGATTTTGGGGTAAGGGGTGATATTGTGGGGTTGTTAGAAGGAGCATTTGTCATACCGAATTATTGGTGATCTCCTGGATGCGGTTTTGTATGAATTGAAAAACTAAATGAAAGACACAAGGTCCAAATGAAAGAAGGAGAAAAATAGGTTTTAAAGAACTAAGAATTGGGAGTACCTAGTACATCCAATTACAGAGTGTCCAAGGGGGTTCAACATTATTGTTTGCTTGGTTGGCGAGTTTTCGCGCTCTATCCTTGAGTTTTTTTATGTTGTCATATAGCAGACCAGATTGATTTAGGTAAAAACAACACTCTTCATTTAAAAATATACAGAGTCCTCTTTTTTTAGCAGTGAGTAAGTCGAGGCCTTGGTGATTTTGGAGGAAGGAGAAATGCAAAGCCAGCAATTGTTTGTTAAAGAAGGATTAGAAATGGCTAGGAGAGAGTGAGTTTGATAGTGTGGTGGAGATAGCTGGGGAGAGGTAGAGGGTGGCATAAGAACAGGAACGAGAATAAGAGTAAGTATAAAAGTAAAGAACAGGACTTCATCAGGGTGAAAGTATTGGAGTGTACTTTGTCACTGAAGATCTTCTGTCCACTTAAAGGAGAGACTTAAGGGTGGCAATTTGAGATAAAACCAGGTGCCACTGAATACCAAGAGTCTGAGAAACTGAGGTAGGAAGGCCAAACCGAGGAATTATGTCTGACAGAAGGGAAGAAATGACTGTGGTGGCTTTCTCAGACACTGTGGGAAAGGCCTCTACCTATCCAGTGAAAGTGTCTACTTAGACCAAGAGGTATTTTAGTTTCCTGACTTGAGGCATGTGAGTAAAGTCAATTTGAAAGTCCTGGGCTGGGGCAAATCTCCGAGCTTGATGTGCAGGGAAGGGAGGGGGCCTGAGAAATCCCTAAGGAGTAGTAGAGTAACACTGAGAAGTGATTTCCTTGAGGATAGATTTCCACGATGGGAAGGAAATGAGAGGTTCGAAGAGGCGGGCTAGCGGCTTGTAACCTACACGGAAGAGTCTATGAAATGATGACAGAATAGAATGGGCCTGTGAGACTCGAAGGAGATATTTTCTTTGGTCCAAGAACCATTTGCCTTGTGTGGGAAGAGATAGGTGAAAGTTTCAGTGAGGGAGTAGGTAGGAGTGGCCAGATGAGAAGGAGAAAAACTTCCATATGAGGGATAGAAGTTGGAACACTAGCTGCTTTTTAAGCTACCTTATCAGCATAAGTATTGCGTTGAGCGATGGGATCTGATGCCTTTTGATGGCCTTTGCAGTGTATGACTCCAGCTTCCTTTGGAAGTAAAGCGGCCTATAGAAGAGTTTTTATTAAAGAGGCGTTAAATCCTCCTTGCATTGTGAGGAAATCTTTCAGCCCATAAAACAGCATGGTGGTGCAGGATATGGGGTCAGTATAAATATTGACGCGTAGTCCTTTTACAAGAGTGGGGGCCTGAATGAAGGCAATGAGTTTGGCTTGCTGAGAGGTAGTGGAGGGGGATAGAGCAGTAGCCTCAATGATAGATGTGGAAGATACTATAGCATAGCCTGCCTTTGCTGGTGTGTGGCGATTAGGCCTGGTGGAACTGCCATCAATAAACCAAGTGTGATCAGGGTGAGGAAAGAAGGAAATATGGGGAAATGGAGTCAATGCCAGATGGATCAGAGAGATACAGTCATGGGAGTCAGGTGTGGTATCAGGAATAATGTGGGAGGCTGGATTGAAGTCTGGGCCAGGAACAATGGTAATTGTGGGAGACTCAACAAAGAGTGAGTATAGCTGAAGGAGCCGGGGAGCAGAAAGTATATGCATCAGGGGTGAGGAAGAAAATAGATTTTGGAAATTATGAGAGCTGTAGAGAGTGAGTTGAGCATAGTTTGTGATTTTGAGGGCTTCTAAAAGTATTAGGGCGGCAGGAGCCGCTGCACGGAGACATGATGGCCAGCCTGAAACAGTAAGATCAAGTTGTTTGGACAAAAAGGCTACAGGGCGTGGTCTTGGCTCTTGTGTAAGAACTGCGACCACACAGCCCTGCACTTTGGCTGTGTGTAATGAAAAAGGGTTGTGATGAGTTAGGGAGAGCTAGTGTGGGGGCAGCTTCTAGGACTGTTTTTTAAGGAACGGAAAGGAGTGCCGAAAGGATTTAGAATCTATGGGGTCAGCTAGGTTTCCTTTTGAGTTTAAATAATGGTTTTGTTAGGATGGCAAAACCAGGTATCCAAAGGCGGAAGTACCTAACCATGCCTAGGAAGGAAAGGAGTTGTTGTTTTGTAGAAGGGATTGGGGTTTGGGAGATTAGCCGGACACTACCAGCATGAGAGCACATGTGGTTTCATGAAGAATTATGCTGAGATAGGTAACAGATGAGGAAGAAATTTGGGCTTGACTGAACTAATGGGGGCTGTCTGTGAAACCCTGCATCAGTATAGCTCGGGTAATTTGCTGAGCCTGATGGGTGTCAGGGTCAGTCCAAGTGAAAGCGAACAGAGGCTGGAATGAAGGGTGCAAGGAATAGTAAAGAAAGCATGTTTGAGATCCAGAACAGAATAATGGGTTATGGAGGGGTTGTGGAGGGAGGTATTGAGGATAGGAGAGTATATGGCTTTGGCACCACGGGGTGGATAGGCTAGACAATTTGGTTGATAAGGCGCAGATCCTGAACTAACCTGTAAGGCTTGTCCAGTTTTTGAACAGGTAAAATGGGGGAATTGTAAGGAGAGTTTACAGGCTTTAAAAGGCCATGCTGTAACAGGCAAGTGATAACAGGCTTTAATACTTTTAAAGTGTGCTGCAGGATGGAATATTGGCGTTGAGTGGGGTAAGGGTGATTAGGTTTTAATGGGATAGTAATGGGCATGTGATCCGTTGCCAGGGAGGGAGTAGAGATGTCCTACATTTGTGGGTTAAGGTTGGGAGATACGAGAGGAAGACACAAAGGAGGTTTTGGGTTGGGAAGAAGGGTGGCAATGAGATGTGGCTGTAGTCCAGGAATAGTCAGAGAAGCAGATAATTTGGTTACAATGTCTTGACCTAACAAGGGGGCCGGGCAGTGGGGATAACTAAAAAGGAGTGCATAAAAGAATGTTGTCCAAGTTGGCACCGGAGTTGGGGAGTTTTAAGAGGTTTAGAAGCCTGGCCATCAATACCCACAACAGTTATGGAGGCAAAGGAAACAGGCCCTTGAAAAGAAGGTAATGTGGAGTGGGTAGCCTCCATATTGATTAAGAAGGGGAAGGATTTTTATCCTCTACTGTAAGAGTTACCTAAAGCGTCTATGATGGTCCAGGAAGCTTTTGAGGCAACTGGGCAGTGTCAGTCTTCAGCCGCTACGCTGAAAAGATCTGGGAAGGGGTCAGAGAGCCTTGGGCTAGAGTTCCAGGGGCTCTGGAAGAGGCTGCTGGGTGAGTTGAACAGTCCAATTTTCTGTGGGATCCTGCACAGATGGGACATGGCTTAGGAGGAACCTTGGGCTGCGGACATTCCTTGGCCTAATGGCCAGATTTCCGGCACCTGTCGCAAGCTCCTGGGGGAGGAGGTTCTGGAGAAACCTTTGGCAGCTGCGGTTCAGGCATTTAGAGTTCCTGTGTGCTAGAGATTTGGCTGGGATTTCTCTCACAGCAGAGGCAAGGAATTGCAACTCAGAAATATGTTGCTACTTGGTTGCCTCTACTCTATTATTGTACACCTTGAAGGCGAGGTTCATTAAGTCCTGTTGTGGGGTTTGAGGGCCGGAATTTAATTTTTGGAGCTTTATTTAATGTCAGGAGCAGATTGGGTAATAAAATAAAATGCATATTAAGAATTAGATGGCCTTCTGACCTTTCAGGGTCTAGGGCTGTAAAGCATCTTTGGG